CAGGCCAATCTTATGATTGATAACAATTTTATATGTTGAAATTGGTTGTTACCTTCACATTCCCTTAATCTGAAAAGATTATACAAGTGGATTTGAAAAGATATGCTTACATTTTTTTTTATGAATTGACGGTTCTCGCTGAAGTTTCATTCATTCTGAAGTATGATGTAATGATTCTTATTTTATCATAAGGGGGAGTATGTAATAATGAATGAATTGTTAATTTCCGAACGATATAAGGGGAATATGTTGTAAAGATCAAGGGGGAGTAACTTCGATGACAATGACGGCAAAAGACTCAAAAGGAGTACGACTGGAGATTATTACAAAAGATTATTCATGTGCTACAATGTCTGAGAGTTGTTGAATTTAAAAATCAATTTTACAACAGTTTGCTGATAAAGATCACCTTTGAAGAGAAAGTGTGTTAAAGATCAATTCTGAAGATTGTTACTGTTTTTGTTCTACATTGTCAAAAGAGAAGATCATCATTGTTTTACATTCGAGGGGGAGAATATTAGAAGATTTTTCTCAACAAACGATCGTCTGAAGTATTTGTGTAAAAGTCATAAAGTGCTCAAATGTAACAAAGATCAAACGAGACTCAAAGCACATAAATTCCTTCAAGCCTGAATACAAAGGGGGAGAATGTTAGGACTGAATTTCAGTGTTAAATTATATTCGACTTGAAATGTTAAATATTGTCTATAATTGTAAAAGTCATCGAGTTTGACTTTTATGTAAGTTTGACTTTGACTTTCTAGACTTTCTAGTTTGACCCTATATAAAGGGTAAGTCTTAGTGTAATTGTATGTAGAAGCTCAATTGTAATATCATTTATGTAATAAGAGGTTTGACCAGATTATGAAGATTTGACTTTTCCTCTCATCTATCTCTCAAGTGTTCTTAAAGCTAGATCTTGAATCTGTCATGGATTATTGTTAGAAGATTGAAGATTGATTATTGTGGAACAACAGTATGTGAAGGTGACGACTCTTACCACGGTAAACACTTACCAGGTAAATTGTTGTATACGATGTCATTTTGGTGGACTAAAATCTTACCCGTTAAGTAAATAATAGTGTTAAATTTTACTGGTTCGCACTTACCAGGTAAGTGTTTGGTAAACGGCCCCTTAGTCATTAGTCTTCCTGAACTTAGATTTGATAAGAACTCATTGTGTTCGGCGTGTGAAATGGGAAAGATTACAAGATCTTCACATAAAGCAAAATTTGCTTCATCTTGTAAATCTTCTCTCGAAATAATTCACATGGACTTATGTGGACCAATGCGTACTCAATCGCTTGGAGGTAAAAAGTACGTCTTGGTGATGGTCGACGAATATTCCAGATACACGTGGCTAGAGTTTCTGAGAGCCAAATTTGATGCGCCTGAACTGATCATTTCTTTTATCAAGCGTATTCAAGTTCTTCTACAACTTCCAATACAAAAGCTTCGAAGTGACAACGACACTGAATTACAAACGAGACCCTTCAAAGTTTTCTTCAAACTGTTGGGATTTCTCACAATTTTTCTATTGTTCGAACACCACAACAAAATGGAGTTGTTGAAAGACAAAACAGAACATTAGTCGAGGCTGTTCGGACTATATTGGCTTACTCTGGTCTACCTCTGTATTTGTGGGTTGAAGCAATGTCTACCACCTGTTTCACACAAAATAGAACAATCATTGTCAAGTGCTTCAATAAAACTGCTTATGAGTTAATAGAAAAAAAAAAGACAGCCTAATTTAAAGTTTTTCCATGTTTTTGGATGCAGATGTTTCATGCTTAATGATTAAGACAATCTCAGGAAGTTCGATAAGAAGGCGAAATAAGGCTACTTTATTGGTTATTCGTTAAAGTATAAAGCCTTTCGAGTCTACATCATGTCATCCAAGATTTTCATAGAAAGCATCAACGTCAGATTCGATGAATCTTTGACTTCTGAAAAATTCAGTTCAAGACTCAAGCTATAACCGTTAGCTTCTACACAAAGCAGTGTAGAACCTGTACCAAAAAGGATAATAAATTCTAATTCTTCTGGTGTAAAATCAAATTTAGATTCTTTATTTAAAAACGCATTTGATCTTACATGGGATATTCTTGCAGATCATGAGATATCTAATCTACCCAAGTTGAATGAACCAGTGGTCCTGATTCCGCAAGTTACTCAACTTTTTGGACCATCTGAAGCTGGTTGTTCAACATCAAAATGTTTTCCAAACTCAACTAGAGATTGTTCAATCTGATATTGATCAATCTCAGTCTTCTCAACCTAACAATGAAGCTGAACATTCTGAGGTTCAAGGTGAAGCTGAATTAGAAATTCAAACTGAAGTTGAAAGTGAAATTCAAGTTGTAACTGATGAATATGATGATCAAAACAATGTAAATGATGCTCAACCCCTCCCTTGTACTCACAAGTGGAAAAAGATCATCCCCCTACTCAAATAATCAGTAATGTAAATGATAGAGTGAAAACGCGATCTGCTACCGCTACCGAGTGTCTTTTCGTGAACTTTCTTGGTGCATAGAGCCAAAAAAGCCATCTGAAGCGTTGCAAGATCTAGATTGGATCAATGCGATGCAAGATGAACTTCGAGAATTCGAAAGAAACCAAGTTTGGAGACTCATACCGAGGCCGAAAGACAAATCAATAATAGGTACAAAATGGGTCTTCTGAAACAAAAAGGACGTGATGGGAATTGTAGTGTGAAACAAAGACCGATTGGTTGCTAAAGGTTACAGTCGACAAGAAGGCATCGATTATGACGAGACCTTTTCTCCAATTGTATGCATTGAAGCTATCAGAATATTTCTGGCGTACGCTACTCACAAGAATTTCAAAGTTTACCAAAATAGTCTGCTAAAAGAATTTCCTTCAGGAACCTGCTTACCAAGGGGAGAGATCCTCCTACCAACATTCCTACTCTGGCAAAGGGAAAAGAGTTGCTGAAGACAACCTAGCTCTGCTCTTTGGGGCTATCAACTACCTTAAGGATGAAAAACTTCAACCATGTTTATACCCTCCACCACATAAGCTGAACCTTATTTTTTCTTTACCTCTTAACTCGAAAGAAAATGCTCAAAAGAAAGATTCGAGGAGAAGATGTCCCTGACTACATCAACTTTAACAATCTAGATTAGAAAACCTTTTGATTTTGTAAACTTTGTATATCTTTTATCCTTTCTTTCAGTGTATAGATTTAATGTATTAAGCCTACCAAAACCAATTGTAATCATTTGCAATATTTTGTCTTGAATGATATTTCAATATCATGATTGGTTCACTAAAATAGATCCCTGAAAAGAGTAAATGAGACATGTATTTATTCTTTACATTCTCTGATACATTTCTTGTCAATGAATATAATCTCAGTGTAAAGTTATTCCTATTATGTAAATTTATTCTTCCCTAGTAATCCTTTACAAAAAGTGAATTTTCATAATAAACTTTATGACTGAAAAAAGATCCTAAAACAGTAAAAAGGGACATGTATTTTACTAGTACATTTTTTCTTACGTAATATCTTAGCAATTTTCTTTATGTTGTTTTATCATCATCAAATAGGGGAATATTGTTGATCCTCTCTCTCAGTGATTTGATGATGATCATTTTGGTCTAACAAAAAAATACTTAGTTCTATATATTCAGTTTTAGTGATCATCACTGAGTTTGTTCAGTGATCGCTAAACAAGTATTGTAATTCTCAAGAGACGAGTATTCTTCAAGAAGACAGAACTCACACCACAAGAACCTTTAGTGATATCGAAGATAAAGCTGAAGATGGAGACAAGCAGTTCGTGATGTGATGCGGTTTCGGTGATAAAAAACCTGTCTATGAATGTGTGAAGTCTACTCAAGATTCAACATACACTGAAGAAACTTTAGAGTTATTTCAGTGTCAGCAATCAAATGAATCTTGTTGATCAAGATTAGTTTTTTGTTTTATCATTTTATACACAAAGGACAAACCCATACATCTCAAAGTAAAGCACTCGTATGGAGTCATCCTATTGTCTCCAAACTTGCTTACTTATTTTGTGAATGACCATTATTCATATACAATCAAAAGCCTGTATATCTGAAGACAAAAGACAAGCTCACTTCTAGAAGCTTGGCACGTGCCTTGTACTGTTTGGCATGCATTCAATGTAATAAGTATAAATAGCAATGAAGTCCCTCTTCTTCAAAGAGTCGTCTTCAAATCTTCAAAGACCCAAGAAGAGACACACTTACAAGCATAAACTTCTTAACCTTGCGAAGTTACGTTTACTTCAAGTGAAGAACACCAAATAAACTCTTCCTCTAGCGAAATTATTGTTTCTTCTTTTAGCAAATCTTTTCTTTCTTGCTTTATGTATCTTGTGTGTTCCTTAGATTATTTTAGATAGGTTCTGTATCTTATCTTATTCCACAAACAATCTATAAATTTTGTATTTGATCTTCTTTATCAATAAAAGATTTTAAAAAGTGAAAATATTTGTGTGTTTGTATTCATCCCCCTCCTACAAACTGTTACCTTTAAACTCTTGTAGATTCGTCTAGGACCAACAGTCCCTCATGTTAACATCCATTAAAATCTCCGTTAACTTATATTTTCATGTTTTAGTTGTGTTATGGAACTTTTAATTGTTTGAAAGACCTATTTTTCTAATTTTTAGAACTAAAAAAACTTCGTCCCTCTCTCTTTCCAATCTCTTTCTCATATTTCCATGAACAAAAATCAAATTCATAATCAAATAAAAACAAAGATGGTGTATTTTTACATCCCACTCAAACCTAAAAAAATATTTGAAGAATAAAATTAACACAAACTCATTTTAAAAAAAATAAAATAACAATACAAACGAATTTTTAAGAAATACAATAAAAAAACAAAGCATTTTTCATTAAAGGGACCAATCCAAAATATCACCAAATAAAAGAAAGGTAGCTGGGGTGTTAAGAAGGGTAGATGGGGTGTGTAACTTGGAGTTTGGTGGATCACACGGTCCACGATTATTATCATCACCTATCACCTGAACTTTCAATCATAAACAAAACATACCAACCAGCTAGCTACTTCCTCACTGCCGTCCCTACTTCACGATGAACATCGCCGGAATTTTTGCCGGAGTATTCCTCCTCCTGGCGGTCTACTGTGGACTAGACCCCTTCAGGCATAGTGCAATTGTTGATTTTCCCGACTTTGAGTCAGTCAAAGTTGAAATGCCGCAGTGGTCTGAAGTGCCGAAGGATAAAGACACTCAAAATTTGCTAAGGAAGTCAGAGCTTAAGTTTTTGAATCAAATTCAAGGTCCGGAGAGCGTCGCTTTTGATTCGCATGGGCGTGGACCGTATACTGGTATTGCTGATGGCCGGGTTGTCTTCTGGAACGGAAATTCTTGGTCTGATTTTGCATATACGTCTCCTAATCGGTAATAATGGCGTTTTTCTCTTCTATTTTGATTTGTTTCACTTTAGGAAATCAAACGGTTGCTTTTTGACTTTCAAATTGTAGTGGATTCTACGGTTTCTCTAAAGAAGCCGAGAACTGCATTGAATTTTAAATGTGCAGATTAATTTTCCGGTTAATTCCGTATGATTGGTTTTCATTCTCTACCTGTAAATGTTAGTCTGATGTTCTAAAGATGGACTAATGTATTGCACATACAACTCTGAACATTTTCAATTTCTCATTTGGACACACCGGGAACTATGCTCTGCAAATTTTTTTAAAAAAATCGTATATTCTGACTTGTAATTTGTAAGAGTACACATATATTCATGCTGTCCGGAGTAAGAGTACATATTTGATCAACCGGTGAAATGAATGACTTATTCAACTCAAAATTGTTTCAATTTTTGAAGATTTTCTGCTCACACCTTTTGAAAAGGAGCGTAGATGCTTGTGAAAGGAATACTTTTGTCCAAAAAAAGTATATATATATATATATATATATATATTTATCATTCATGGACGTTGATAAGATCCATCCATTTAGTCTAAAATAGATAAAAATTATAATTTTGATTATTTATTGATATATATATGTTTGTGTGTGTGTGTTCATATCAAAAGTCAAAATACATTGTGCACTCGCTGAATTTTCACCTTGTTTCAAATATGAATACTCAGAGGAACATTGGGCACTTAGAATACCACAACTGTTACATGGAAAATACTCTCATCTAATTGACTTATAAATGGTCAATGATGACAAGATGTATGTGAAAGTGAAACGTGTAAAATATTTAAAAGGAAAAACAAGTTTATTAAAAGAACACAAACACTGAGAAAACACACATAACTATTTATTGAAGATTTACCAAGTGGGAAGTTGACATTCTTACCGCTGGGAATGGAATTATATGTTAAAATCATTACTAAACACAAAGGAAAAAGCATGTATGACATGATTTTGGTAAAAACTGAGGGTTTCCAAGGCAGTGTTTCTCTTCTCAAGGCACCAAAGTAGCTGAAGATAAATTGTTAAAGAAATTATAATCTTGATAACATTGGGTTGTAAAATTATCACCATATCTGCAGAGATTCTAGTCAGTGAAAACATTAACTCTTGACTATTGGTGTAGATTGCTCCTCCTTTGCATAAGATAGATTCGTGTTAAGAACCTCATTCTCTTCGGTTGCATTTGCAGAAGCTTAGTTCAACATCAAATCTGCTAGTTTGCTGCCAACTTTGCTATGCTAATCAGAAACTGCAGATCACACACACAAACACCCCAGACTATAACACCTTCACTTTTGTAATAAATAACAGTTGAGTAAATTTATTGAGTATAAAATGAGACACAAGTATTTGTAAAAATGTCCTCTGCTGTCAATGTTATCTTATTGTTAGTTATTTTTATTTTTATATGCATTTTTTATTGATATAAGTTCTTATAATTATGGGAAGATTTTAAAAAAGGAAAACCGAATTGATGATGTATATATATATGTATAATATTTATATTTACCTATGTAGTGTACTGTAGGCTGCTAATAAAACAAATAAGAAATCCTCTTAACTAAAAAGTCCAGGTTCTTTCTTAGTTTAAGTTCCAAACGTATGTCTCATTCATGTCATTGCATTGGAAATGGTCCTACATAAGGGTTCCCTAGAAAATCTCATAAAGATTGTTAGTAACAAGCTGCTTTGCAATATGTTTAGCCAGTTTATTTATCTATTGTAGTGCATCAACACTGATCTTAGACATGATCACTGTGTCCCATTTGATTCCTGAGGGTGCAACATGATATCGAGTCATAAACCATGGAATGCAACCTGCTCTTTGCTCCACCAATTTTCAACAAGTACTCGAGATGAAATTTTACTTCTTGGTAATTGCAACTTCTTGGCTAAAAGCAACTTTACCATGGCAATTGCTTCTACATGTTTTATGATTCTGGGTTTTTACTAGTAGATATATCTGCCTTTCTTGTCTTTGATTCAACCTGTTTGCTATAGTTATTGAATGGATATAGCCTAGTGATATGTTCTTCTGAAATAAGGTTTACGTTTCAGGTCAGAGATATGTGATCCTAAACCATCAATTTTGGGCTACTTAAAAAATGAGCATATATGTGGGAGACCCTTGGGGTTGCGGTTTGACAAAAGAACAGGTGATTTGTATATTGCAGATGCGTATTTTGGGTTGCTAAAAGTTGGGCCTGAAGGTGGGTTGGCCACATCTCTAGTAACTGAAGCTGAAGGCGTTCCTTTGAAGTTCACAAATGATCTAGACATTGATGGTGAGGGGAACATATACTTTACTGATAGCAGCGCAAAGTATCAGCGAAGGTATGTTCGTGAAGCACTTCTCTAATCAATTGCTTTGTCTTTTATTTTTGAAATTTTGCATATTGGTGTTAAAACTACGAATTGGACTATTCATGTGATATGCATCACATACTGTTGCAGATATGCCAGCAAGTAGATATCTAGAAACCAGAGTAACTGCACCCTTTGAATTCCTAAAACAATGGTATCCAAACAAGTGTCATACGTTTTCCAGAAATAAAGTTCTAGCATCCAGCATGTGGTGAGAAATTAAACGTGTTTGGAAATGAGGTGAATCATTGAAGGGAATATAGAAGAAATAACAAAACAGTAAGTTGAGAAAGTTCTGTGCTAGTAATAACATGTGATCTCTGTTTGAGTTAGCTGTTAGTTGGTGAAAAGGTTGTGATGCTATGTTTCTTCAATAAGAAAAAGAAATAATAGGAGTAAGTTATGGTCATTAAACTAAGGCAATTACAAAGAATATTGTATATACGACTTACCTTGTCTTGCATGGTGGGAGAGACAAGAGGAGAATATCTTAACAAAGTAAATAAATAATAGTACAACACTCCTTTCTAGAGTGATGGGGTTGGAGATGATTCATCATAACAGTAGGTGGTGTGTTTGGTTTCAGGGAACGAGAATGAAAAGAATCATTCCCAACTATATGGGATCACCTAAAACTGCGAAGAGGGATAGGTTTCAAACCCATTGCCAAATATGATTCTCAATTACATGATATCACCTAAAACCTGCTATGAATTGGGATTTGGAGATGATTAGAGGACTGGATAATCTCTTAGGATCGTGTACAAAGCACTTTTCAAATACAATAATTCGTCCCTTATAGCCTTGGGTTCACAAATTTAGTATTGGGATAATCCTAGAGAATTTTCTCTTCCAAAGGCTGTGAGATCGAGATACTTATACCAGATTCTTGTTACATATTTATATGAGAGATCTTCAGTTAGGGACGGTTAAACGGTTATAACCGTTAATGGATAAGATTGGAAAGCAGTTATAACCAAATCAGAGTCCCAAGGACCGAACTTTGACTCCAAAGTCTAAGTTTGGGTGCACAGAGACCAAGCCTAGTTGAACTCTGATTTCATTCGATCTCTGATTGCATGTCCAAAGTTCAGACTTGGTTGATTTTACAACCACAAGTCTGGAAGCCAAAACCCCCAAGTCTAGACGCATAGTCCAGAGTTCCAGACTTCAATTTTGTTCAATCACAAATCTGATTCAATGGACCAGATCTCTGGTTCCATTGTTCAGATCTCTGATTGTTCTTGCCCAGACTTACACAGTTATACTTAGACATTTAGCAATATATCTGAACTCTGATCAGACGGATCAGATCTCTGAACAAACTACCTCAGACTTATACTTTAAAGGTATTAATTTTCAATCAGGGCTATATTATTGACCGACTTTCAACGAGGAATAAATACAGGAGGAATACAACAACCTACCTAACAAGAAGGCTACAAAAAAGGAAAAGAGATATACACCAAGAATACAAGGGATAAGAGCAAAAGGAATATATATAATTTATCCCGTAATATATGCGATTTCCTTTACTCCCCCTCAAGTTGGAGCATGAAGATCACGAATGCGTAACTTGCCAAGAAGATAATGAAAGCGTTCCGTGCCTAGAGCCTTCGTGAAAATGTCTGCAATTTGAGATGCAGAATGTATGCATTCAGGACAAATTTCTTGAGACTCCACATGTTCACGAACAAAGTAACAATCAATCTCCACATGCTTTGTATGTTCGTGGAAGACACTTTTGTTGGCTATCGGGCTAGGAGCCTCGTTGTCGCAATAAAGTGGAGTCGATCCATGTTGAGATGCCTCAAGGTCATGAAGCCAACGTATCCAGAGTATCTCACTAACCGTGGTTGCCATGGCTTGATATTCTGCTTCAGCGGACGATCGTGAAACCACGAATTGCTTCTTTGTTTTCCACGATATTGGTGCTCCTCCCAAAAGAATTAGATATCCCGTCCCAGAGTGTCATGGAAGTCTACTCCCTCCATCTGAGTAAAACCCTTCACTACTAAATGGGCTTTTCTTTCAACTTCTCCATTGGGCCTGTATTTGATCTTGTACACCCACTTGGAATCTACTGCTCATTTTCCATGTGGTAATGGTTCCATAGTCCAAGTCCCATTTTCTTCTAAGGCTTTTATCTCCTTTTGCATGGCATCTCTCTACTTGGGGTCACAAATGGGCTGGTGAAAATGTATGGGCTCATCATGTGAATTGATGGCCGATAAGAAAGCCTTATGTGAATTAGAAAACTTATCATAAGAGACAAAATGAGAGAGAGGGTGTACCGTCGAGGAACCTTGATCAGAAGTGGGTTGCGAGTGGTCTATCAATGGAGGTTGCTTCACGATAAAATCTTGAAATCGTTTAGGCTGAGATCGATTTCTTTTATGCACATCGATAGGTTGGCCCAAGTCTAAGATTTTTTCTTCATTATTTGTTCCTGTCACATATGGTAACTCATCTTCTCTTGTGTCTTGTTCTCCTGTCTCATTCGATGGTGAGGGAACTTCGTTTTCAATTCCCTCTTTTTGTTCAACAGTAGACTTGGAGGAATTTTCTTGTTCATCCTCAATGAAGTTGAAGTCTTCTTTCTGGATGGTTTGACAAGTATCTTTGGCAACATGAAAGGGAAAAATATGCTCCACAAAATTTACGTCTCTGGAAACAATAATTTTGTTTCATTGATGTCGTAGATTTGATAGACCTATTGTCCTTGAGGATACCCAACAAAAACGTCAGGTCTCCTCCTCACTTCGAACTTGTCCCCTTTTGTGTCGGTGTTCTTGGCATAAACCAAGCAACCAATGACTTTCATGTGTTCATAATTTGGTTTTTTTGAACAAAATCTCGTAGGGAGTTTTATTTTCAATGGCCTTTGAAGGCAACCTGTTTATGATATAAGTGGCAGTGAGGAAAAATTCTCCCCAAAATTTTGCGGGGAAATTAGCTTCAAACCTTAAGGCTCGTGCCACTTCAAGGAGATGTTGGTGTTTTCTTTCGATAACCCCATTTTGTTGAGGAGTGTGTGGGCAAGAGGTTTCTAAAAGTATCCCATGCTTTGCATAAAAATCAACCATGAAGTTGGAAGTAAACTCTCCACCATTATCCCTTCTTATTCTTTTAATACCTTTTCAAATTGTGTTTTGACCATGTTGTAAAAATCTATCAGACAATTACTCGCTTCCGACTTGTGTTTGATTACGTAAAGCCATACGGCCCTACTAAAATCATCAACGATGGTCAAAAAATACTTGGCACCCGATAATGGAGTGCAATACCGCCCATATGTCACAATGTATTAAATCAGAACAAGCAGAAGATTTTATTGAACTATCCGGGAAAGGCAATCTAGTGTGCTTAGCTTTCACACAAGAATCACACACTTTTCCTTTCAATAAATGAGAAAAATTATCTAGAAAACTGATCTTATTGAACTTCTATTCCGTTGCATGTCCTAACCTTTTGTGCCAAACTTCAATATATCAACCTTAGCTAGCATCGCTTTATTCCCATCTGCTTCTAAATCCATCCGATAGAGACCGCCCTTGCACTTACCGATTCCAATCAGGTTCCCCGATTGTAAGTCCTGCATTACACATAAATTATGAAAAAAGGTTACGGCACAATTAAGTGCTTTCGTTAGTCGGCTAACAGACAAAAGATTGCATTTGAAGTCTGGAATATGTAAAACTTTTGTTAGTTCCATTATGTTAGGCAGCATGCAACTTCCGGTTCCTTTTTCATGAATTAAATCTCCACTTGGAATGGTAACCGGTGTCGTTCGTCGGCTATCCTCTTTGTTTTGAAATAAATCACCTTCGCTGGCCATATGCTCGGTAGCACCTGTATCAATGATCCAATCTTTATTTGAGAACAACTTACCAACCATGTTGACACTTGCTGATGTCAAGTCCGAGGATTCAAACACCTTTCCTACGTACACACCTCCCTAGTCATTGCAAATTTGTCGGATTCAAACACCATCTTGAATCCTTTATTGCTAAAGGTAGGTCCAGAAATCAAGTTCTTTGTGATCACAAGTACATGCAACACATTTGTTAGTACAAGATCTTTTCCCAAAGTCAGCTTCAGGTTTACCCTTCCTCTTCCTTCAACCGCCGCGGTAGTGGGCATTGCCCATAGACATTGGCTCTTCATTGTTGACCTCTTGATAGGATGAGAACATGCTCTTCGAATTGCAAATGTGCCTTGTGGCACCGGTGTCGACCCACCAATCAAAATCATATTTGTGCCTATAAAGGTTTTCAGTTACTCCAGCAAATTGATTTAGAGAATTGGCTATACATTTGTTGCTTGGTTGGGGTTTCCAGCGGCACCTCCATGATCTCTACGGTGATGACAATCTTTGACACGATGCCCCGGTTTTCCATAGACCCAACAACTCAAGACACATTTCTTGAAATTCTTCTTTTGAGTTGAGAGTGGATTCACAGCATTATGTTATGCTTGCCACCAAAAGCCTTAGCTTTTCCCTTTTGAAACTTGGCCTTTGATGTGCTACCGGTGATCATGCATTTGCCTTTTCAAGGAAGTAACCGACAAATAACACTGTTGGACAGGGACTTCCGTGGCCTATTCCCACGGCTTTAAGTCGCGTGGGAGGCTGGGCATCTCTCTATGTTTCTCACCTTCAATCATTTATCTCGTTTTTCAAACCCATTCTTAAAGATATAGACTTTAAAGTCGAACTCAAGGCCCTCTTGAATTTAATATGTGTTGAGCCCAACTTGGGAGTTAGGCAATTTGATAAGAGATATGGGTTAGATAATAAAAGGCACAAAATAAATTTATGATTTGGTCTATGTGGGACAAACCAAATACCCAACAGGTTGATATTGTTTCGTTCTTCCTGTAGTTCCAGGTCAATTTATCATTTGTATTGATTTAGAATCCCCAGTTGATTTAGTTTCTTGTTCCATTTTAATTGTTCTCCAGGATTGTAGTGTATATATTGACATATTTTGGCCCTTATTGAACGAGGTGGTTGTCATATTCTATTTATCTCCAAATCTTAACAGGTTGACTGTCATATTCTTTTTTCTTCCTCTCTAAAGTCATACCCTTTTTACTACAAGTTCTTCGTACTAACTTAACTTTTCTTAATTTTCTTTTAATTTTCAGGAACTTCATGCATTTAGTTTTTTCCGCAGAAGACAGTGGTAGAGTTCTGAAGTATGATCCGATCACGAAAAAGACAACTGTTCTTCTTCGCAACCTCCAGTTTCCTAATGGCGTGTCTCTGAGCAAGGATGGTTCTTTCTTTGTATTCTGTGAGGGGTCCAAAGGCAGGTGAGCAAACACATTATAACAATACGTTCTTCGACCGATAAAAATTGCCAAATCTTGAGCTTAATTACCTATTTGCCATTATCATCATTACAAAATACTGATTATGTTCCAAAGGGATTTTGGCCTAGTGGTATCTAAGCTTTTGGCCTCCCAAGATGTCAGGGTTCAAACCTCACCAAGGGTGAGGAGTGTGTGAGTTTATTTGTTGTATTTTCCGTATATAAATATCATATACTTATAAAAAATATTGATTATGTTGGCTTTTATGCACAATATTTCCCTATATTGTTGTCGTGAAAGGTATCTTCGACATTTAACTACTAACCTCACACCTTTATTGAACCCTGTGTCAATTCAAAAGGTATACTTCTATCTGTAGAGAAGTATTTAATTCCAGGTTTATAACACTCTGAAAAATGGTGTTCATGGAAAATGTTGTTCTTAATAGTGCACAAGCACCAAACCGAAAGGGGTTGTCTTAGCGGTCAATTGTGGACAGCATCTAGATGCTATCAACTCCTTTGCGCCTAGGGCCCACAGTTTGCATGAGTCTTGTGTAGCGACTAGCGACTGCTTTGCATGAATCATATGCAGACTAGAGTTCACAAAAAGCCGAATCAGGCCTTGTTTTTTTTTTTTCAAAAGCCTGAAAAAGACCGATCGAGCCACTTTTTAATCCAAAGCCCAGGCCCGAAAAGACGGGGCTCTTTTTTTTTGCTTACTGAAAACGGGCTTGGAAGGCCTGGGTCTTGTGCATTGTATACTAGTTACGCTTAAGGTGTCAGACAATCACCAAAAGAAAACTAAACAGTCATTGTGTGTTATTTCTTCTAACTAGTCCAAAAATGGTTGTATGTTGATGCTATAGGTTAGTGAAGTATTGGTTGAAGGGGGAAAAAGCAGGGACGTCGGAAGTGATGGCCATTCTACCCGGTTTTCCCGACAACGTGAGGACAAATGAGAATGGTGAATTTTGGGTGGCAATTCATGCTCGCCGATCCATGTACACTTACGTATGTGCCTTATACCCAAAACTCCGAACGTTTATGCTGAGACTTCCAATCCCAGCAAGAATGCAGTACCTGCTAAACATCGGTGGCCAGCTTCATGCCATGGTCGTCAAATACAGCCCAGACGGTAAGATTCTACAGATATTGGAAGATGCACAAGGTAAAGTTGTGCGAGCCGTGAGCGAAGTAGAGGAACGGGATGGCAAGCTGTGGATGGGGAGCGTTTTAATGTCGTTTATTGCAGTATACGAGCTGGATTAGCAACGGTCATCAGCCATCTGTCTTTCGATACTAATTAGGTGCGTGCTATATGTTTCTGGCCTGTAGAGTTATTATATGTTGGTAGTATGTTATATAACGACTTTCGACACAACAACTCAGAAGCGTGATCCCGATCACTGTGTTTATGGCTTGTTTTTCGTCACACTAGTTGGTCTCGTTGAATGGGGAGATAAAAGGGACCCCCTTTCGCGACTTTTTATACGTGATCTTTGAGCCAAACCGAATCTAAACGATGTTTTAGATGAGGTCTAAACCCCTCCTTTCTTTTGTTTTGGATGTTTGAATATTAATCAGATATCATGAATGTATTTCAATAATAGTTTTTGTTCTTAAAATTTTCAATGTCTAGAACGGGATTGGAAAAGAAAATTGTCATTTTTCCTATCAAATTTGGGAGGAAAAGAAAGTAAAGAAATAATAACCTTTAAAAGATTTGTAAAGTTACATAATTATGCATCAATGACAAACCATTGTAAAATAAATAAAAATATATTTATAAAAATAACATATTTTCTGACAAACTATAGTCGCCGCACCACTTTTTTTTTACCGTTAATGTAAAATCATATTTGATTTTGTACGTCATTTGACATTTTTCGTATTCTTTTAAATAGTTAGCATTCTCGTTTGATTGTCTTTCTCTCTCTCTCTCTCTCTCTCTCTATATATATATATATATATATATATATACACACACGCACACACATACACACAAGGATAGGTTCAAACGAGAACGCTAAATATTTAAGAAAACAAAAAAAATGTCGTTAATGTACAAAATCATATATGATTACTTGATTTGGCGTGACTTTGCTCGCGACTTAAGTCACGGCCAAAGTCGCCTAATTCCATTTTTTGACGTTAATGTAAACTTATATGTGATTTTGTACATTAACGACTTTTTATTATTATTTTCTTAAATAGTTAGCATTTTTGTTTGAATCTTTCTATATCTATACTATATTATAAATCATTTGATAAAAATTCTTACAAACAATTTTTTATGTATAAAATATTGTTTATTGATGAATATTACTTTGAATGTGCATGAGTACATCTTATTAAAGCTTCATGTTTGAATTCGTGTAACTAACTGCAGATAAACATAATCAAATAGATGATAAACATCATTTTAAATATAAAAAATCAAAAACATAATTAAGATAATCATTAAATTCTAACATAATACTTAATTATTATTTAAAAAATTTATTTTATTAAACCAAAAATAAGTTAGTTCGTTATTAAACATCAAATTATAATTAAAAAAATTAAACTAAATAAATTACACAAAAACGAGAACTTTTAGATAATTAATTTGATAATACCATCATTTAATTTTTTTCAAAATTTTATAGTATCTTCAAATTTATATTTCATTAAAAAATAAACACATTTTCTTTTTCTCAAAACCACATAAAATTACATTATAACATTGATGGACTCAAAATATAAAACAAAACATTAAAATCAATGTATGTCATTGGATTTTACGAGTATACTCCTAATGTGTATATACATACATATACTTATATGGATATTTCCCTTCTAGTTTCTTTTTTGTATTCTCATACCCACTCCTAAACTAAAAAGCAAAACTACACCAAAAAGAAATGCAATTTATTTTTCGTTTCTAACCCTTTTGATAGTTAGGTTTTTGAATTATTTTCTTTAACCTTTTGATATTCTTTTATTTATCTCTGTAATTTTTATTTTGATACCCCTAATCCATATTATCTAATAATATACTACAAGGGTAGTTATGTAATTCAACGATATACAACTCGATTTTAATGTTTCGATTTTATTCTTTGTCTCCGTCGATATTATAATAAGTTTTTATATGTTTTTAAGTAAGCAATAATAATTTTATTTTTGAATAAAAATATAATTTTGAATATATCATCCAAAATTGAAAAAAATATATATCAATGTTAATATCAAATTACCTATTTAGAAGTTCTCATTTTTATGTAATTTCTTTGATTTATTTTTTTATTATAATGTAATTTAAGTTTAATAATGAAATAATTTATTTTTGGTTTAATAATATAACATTTATAAAGATAATAATTAAGTATTCTGTTAGAACTCAATGATTATCATAATTATATTTTAGATTTTTTATATTTAAAATAAGATGTTTATCTTGTATTTGATTATGTTTATCTGCAGTTAGTTACACGAATTCAGATATGGAGCTTTAATAAGTTGTACTTACGCACAATCTACTTGTAATCTTGAGTTTTAAGTAATATGCATTAATAAATAGTACTTTATATATAAAAAGTGGTTTTTAAGAATTTTTGTCAAATGTTTTATAATATAATATAGATATTAATAATTAATAATATATTAATTAAGATATTTATTTTATTAAATTATTTATTTGTAGGGACCAACTGCATTACGGTGTATCGTGATATCTGTCGAGAAAGAGTCTGACTGGGTCATTTGCATATTAGTTTTAGTCATGAATAAACTCTTGTTTTTTTTTTTTTTTTTTTTTTGTAAGGGTGTCCAGGCCAAAGCCCGACTAATCCCCGGCAAATTTGGAGGCTAAACATGGCCCCACTTAAATGTCGCCAACACTCCCCTCCCAGGGCTCGAACTCGGGTTCATGACTATGCCATGCCCAAACCTTTACCACTAGGCTGGAAGGTCTTTGACAATAAACTTTTGTTTTGTAGGAGTAGTTTGTTCAACTCTCTTGTTTTTTAGCTTCAATAGTTTACGTTCTTTTAGCTCTTTCTGTTATTTGTAAATGCTCTATTTAAGAGCCTCCTTTCTATTCAATAAGATATCAAAATTGGTTTTGGTCATTCTGTGAAATAGTTCAAAAGCTATTCCAGCTTACAAGTGGTATCAGAGCCCTATTACTGGACCTAATCAAGAAAGCAGAAAAAGAGAGACAGACGAGAAAAAAAAACCAGAAGAGAAAGAAATGGCATAAGGAAAAGGGTTCGTACAACCCTCGATACCAAAATTCGATGGTTATTACGACCATTGGGTCAGATTGATGGAGAACGTCATAAGATCGAAGGAGTATTGGGATCTTACTGAAAATGAGATCTCGAATGAAGGCAGATCCACACCAACGGAAGCACAACAAAAGGCGAGAAATGAGCAGATCTTAAGGGATTTGAAGCTAAAGAACTATCTGTATCATGCAATTGATCGAGATGTTCTAGACACTATCCTAAATACAGATACAAGCAAACAAATATGGGATAGTATGAAACAGAAATACACGGGTTCAACAAAAGTCAAGCGAGCGTAGTTGCAGGCTCTAAGAAAAGACTTTGAAGTCCTAAGTATGAAGGAAGGAGAATCGGTCAATAGCTACTTTGCTCAGACAGTAGCAGTAGCCAAAAGGATGAAGAGTTGCGGGGAGAAAGTCCAAGAGAACACCATTACTGAGAACATTTTGAGGTCTTTAACAATGAACTTCAATTATGTGGTATGTAGTATCGAAGAGTCAAACAACCTTGACACATTGACCCTAGATGAATTACAAAGCAGTCTGCTTGTTCATGAACAACGAATGAGGGTCAATGTTGAGGAAGAGCAAGTTCTCAGAATTGCAACAGAAGAAAGATCGGTAAGAGGAAGAGGGCGTGGAAACGTCAAGGGCTCGTTTAGAGGTGGTAGAGGATGAGGAAGAAGTTTCAGAAGGTCCATGGTAGAATGTTACAGATATCATAAGTTCTGACATTTCTAGTACGAGTGCCCCACGTGGGAGATGGAGGCAAACTATGCTGAATTAGATGAACATGAAGAGCTTCTCTTGATGGCATACCTTGGAAGTGAAGGAGCAAAAGTAGATCAAGTATGGTTTCTTGACTCAGGATGTTCAAATCATATGACAGGAGACATGAAATGGTTCACTGCCTTTGACGATAATTTTTCCCACACGGTAAAATTGGGAAATAATACCCGTATGCAAGTAAAAGGGAAAGGAAGTGCTAAAGTCAAAGTTGAAGGAATAATTCATGTAGTTGATGACGTGTACTACATTCCTGAATTAATAGCGAATTTATTGAGCATGGGACAACTACAAGAGAGGAAGTTGTCACTTTGGATACAAGATGGGTGTTGCAAGATATTTAACGAGAAATACAGGCTCATCTTACAATCAAATATGACAACAAAAAGAATGTTTGTTCTGTTAGGAGAAACTGTTCCTCCCTCTTGCCTATAAGCTACGGTAGAAGATGTAACAGACTTGTGGCATCAAAGGTATAGGAACCTAAGCTATAACAACTTACAACTATTGTATGGCAACCGAATGGTGCGAGGGTTGCCTACAATGAAAAGTTTGAGCAAAATATGTGAAGTTTGCAATAAAGGGAAGCAACATAGAGAAGCCACTCCAAAACATGTCAATTGGCGAGCAGAAGAACGATTGCAAATTGTTCACACAAATTTATGTGGACCAATTACTCCAGCCACCTCAACTAACAAAAGGTACATTTTGAGCTTCATCGATGACTTTAGTTGAAAAATTTGAGTTTACTTTTTGGCGGAAAAAAATGCAACATTCGAGTCTTTCAAAATCTTCAAAATCCTGGTTGAAAAGGAGACTGTGACAAGCATTCGATGTCTAAGGAGCGATAGAGGTGGCGAGTTTACATCAAACGAGTTCAACAAGTATTGTGCAGCGAATGACATTAAAAAGAAACTCACTGCGGCCTTTACTCTCCAACAAAACGGAGTGGCTGAGCGTAAGAATCGAACAATAATGAACATGGTTCAATGTTTGTTAACCGAAAAGTCAATGCCAAAGGTGTTTTCGGCAGAAGCGACACTATGGAGTGTGCACATACTTAATAGATGTCCGACGACTGCAGTTAAAGGAAAGACTCCATATGAAGCCTGGACCGGGTTCAAACCAAATGTCGAACACTTTAGAATGTGTTGCTCATGTACACATTCCAACAGAGAAACGCTTAAATTTGGATGACAAAAGTCTAAAGTGTGTATTCCTCGGAGTAAGCGAAGAATAAAAAACGTACAGGTTGTTTGATCCAGAAAAGAGAAAAATAGTCAATACTGATTTTCGAAGAAAACCAAAGTTGGGATTGGGGGAGGAGCCTTGAAGATAAAGTCAAAAACATTTCAATATTGGGAGAAGAATCAACAGAGGAGCATGGTCAAAGCTCTCAGAACGAGTCACCATTGATGGCAAGTGAAG